GGCTGGGGCAGTACCTCTCTGGGGGCAAAGCATCTGCATACGCCATTTACATTCTCCTGCACAAGATATCTGTCTCCTCTTACTTACATATTTATTGATTTATTGTTTATACCAGTACAGATTCATGGATTTTTATTTTATATTTTCGATTGTAATCTTAAAATTATTCAAATTTTTCTAATGTTCAAATTGCTCTAACCTCGGAACAGCTGAAGCTCCTTCGGTTGACTCCTGCGTCCCTTTGACACACACTCATCACTGGGATTACTTTCTGGAACTGCAAGATGCTCCAGCCTCATCCTGTATTCTTTCTGATCCAACACTAGAGCCAGCCATTTATCTAAGGACACCTGGCTCCTTTTACTGGGGAAATTAGAAAGTGAGAACAGAGGACTTCCAAACTGCCTTTTTGACTTCCCGGCCTGGGGCCCCGCTACTGTCTGTCTGTTGTCTTAGTCAGCCTGGTGGCTCCCGGTGCCACGCCCAGACCCATTGGAAGCCCCTGTGGGAGCAGCTTGGGACCACGGATGTCGCCATTGGGCTCACCTCCTGCTTCTTGCGTTTCCTCCTGCAGGAGCGCTGGATCCTCCCCACTGGAGACCCACAAGAGGCGGGAGTGAAGGGGGGTCCTCTCCCTCGCTGTGACTGACCACCTGCCGGCCCACCCTGGGAAGTCTCCTGCTCCTGGCTGGCTTCCCCTGGGTCATGCTGTTCAATTCCAATGACCTTTTCTGCAATCTTGACCTCTGGGTATCTCCGTTTGACAACCTGGTACACCATACATTCACCCTATCAGTGGGGTCTCCCTTGTAACAATAAAGTCTATTTAAACGAAAAGAAAGAAAGAAAGAAAGAAAAAAGTAAGAACTGAACACTAGGTGTGTTCTTGTTCAATTCCAATGTACATGTATATCAGGATCATAATTAGTAACCTGTGCCCCCATGGCAAATAACTTTATTAAAGTGTAGTTTTTGCCTTTAGACTTACAGACTCTACTCATTTCCAGAGTTATGTAGGTAAGCACTTTTTCCCCCATTCAGTGAGCTGATTTCATACATTTGCAATATAGTTAGATTGTCTCATCCTGCATTCTATCCTGGGATTCCCCTACCTCCTAAATGCTTCTAAAAGATTGCGTACATTAAGGTTCACTTTTTGCCATGAAGTTCTGCAAGTTTTGACAAATGCGTAGTGTCATGTATCCACTGTTAGACACAGAGTCATTTCACCACCATAAAAATTTCACTGTGCTCTCCCTTTCCTTTCCCCATTGAATTCTTGGCAATCACTAAAAGTTTGGTTATTCCACTGCTATTAGGTTTTTTTCTTTTCCAGAATATTGCGTTACTGGCATTGCACTGTATGTAGATTTTTCATGCTTTCTTTTTACAGTTATGATATGCATTTAAGATTCATATATGTCTTTTTCTGGCTTATTTATTTTTAGCACTAAAAATAATTCATTTTGTGATGTACCACAATTTGTTTATTCATTGATCTATTGAAGGATGCCTTAGTTGCATCCAGTATCAGGAGATCATGATTAAAGCTGCTATAAACATTTATGTATAGTTTTTTGTATGGGCATGCTTTCAAATGCCTGAAACTTTGCATGTCAAATCTGCCTTGGTCCTCCTCCTGGCCTCTGTTCCCTGCAGAGCCTTCAGGGTGAAGTGAAGTGCAGCCATGTCTCCTACAACCTCTCTGCAGGTGAGGATCTGCAACTCTTGCCTGGTCCTCCATCCCCATTCACCAGCAGCACCTTGAAAGCCCTGCTCTGCCTGCCCCAATCCTCCAGCGAATCTTTGAGAATCCAGCTAAGGGTCTTGTACACCACAGTGACTTCCAGACCAATCTAGCATCATAACAGCTTCCCCTAACAATGGTCTGTGCTGGGAAGAGTGGCTTCCCACTAGGCTTCTTATATTCAGCGACCCTCTGTGGCCAAGTTATCATCAACCTCCTCACCCCCAGTCTCTGGTCCTTCACTCACTGTCTTCTTTTTACTTTACTTTCCTTTGTCCAATATCCTCTATGCTTACTTTTTGCCATTGCCTTTTTTTTTTTTACCGTCAAATATTTTTATGCATGACACACTTGTAGGAAACCCTGATTCTACTGTAAATAAACCACTTTATGGCACCACACTCTAAAGGCAGAGACATCCATTTTCCCACCCATAACTAGCTTCTCTCACCCTGGCAATATGGTTTTCCCTACTTGTCGGGTTTTAAATTAACAGCCCTGATTTCAAATGCCAGTGGTGCCCTTTATTAGCTGGGTAATGCTGGGCAATGTATTCAACCTATCCAAGCTTCACTTTTTCTTGTGGAAAATGGATGTACTATCTAGTAGGTTTTCTGAGAGTCAAGTATACAGATCTCTTAGTAACTGCCTGGAAGGGTCATTTTAAAAATACCCTTTTTCCATTTGTTCTTGCCCCAGAGAATTTCATCTTTCCAATATTCTTACCAATCCCTTCTCTTATGCATCCTCTCAAGGCTGTGATATTTAAGAAGAGTGAATGGTAGTAAATGGAGAATAACAAACTGTTAGAACATTTAAGTACCTCGCCATGCTAAAATGGAGATTTCTTTTTATATAAGGCTTATGACATCTTTGAAGGCCCCAGCATGTAGACGCTACAAACTACTAATATTTAGCAGATCCATAAACAGCACATGTGACGGACCAACGCAGCACTAAGTATTGTAAAGTAAAAATAAAGTTTTTCCTTTTCTTCAAAAGGAAAATTTCTTCTAAAATTTTTCTTTTCTTTTCCTTTTCTCCAGTGAGCTACAGGGGCTTTCTTTTAAGAAATGGAAGGTTTGGATAATGATGAAGCAGGGGTTTTCTTGATAGATAGGGTGTAGGGGACAGAAAGGAATTCTGGTTGGCAAGGTGGTCTTGTTTGTAGATAAGCCTTAGGATAATATCCCTGGGGAGAATAGATGATAAATACTTTTACTCAGACCTCTTAGGGTGTCAGACTCTTACCAAATCTTCCCCAGACTGAATAGGAGGGGCCTGGATGCATTTGGCAGAGTTTCTCTACAGATGTAAATTTCTCCTTCAACCCCACCCCTACCGCACCCCACCCCACACCCCCTCCGGGACAGCCTTGCGGTATTACTCCTGTTTGCCCACAGTCGTCTCAATATACAATAAATGAATGTATTATGGGATAAAATATTTCTGATTTCCTTCAGCCTTAAAAAAAACCTTCAAGATATATAGCCCCTAGAAAACTGTTACATGTCATTTATAACCTTATGACTGTAGCCTAAATAAATTCTTGAATGTGGATTATAAGTTTATTCCACATATGCAAACCAAGGAAGAGATAAGATCAATCATTCTTCTACTCACCCTGAGAAGATCACAACATTACCTATTTCCTCTACCCCTTTTTGAATGTTCTTCCCATCTTATGTAGATTGACTGTGCAGAACTTCACAAGGATGCAAACATTTGCCTCACTGCTTACTTTCCCCTCCCATGGTGTTGTTTTTCTCTCTGTATACTCTTGTCCTTCAGATGGAAAATTCTCAAACCTTCTGCAGAGAGCCCAGTCCACAGTGGATGCTTTTGTGGGCTGTGCTTTTCCCAGGTACATCCTCAGATCTTGGCTTAATAAACCTCAATTGACTCAATTGACTGTGACTCTCTTTTTCAGTCACTTATTTAAGTTAACAGGACTTTCAAACATATCATTATATGCTTCATTGTACATGGTGTCAATGACATCTGCTTGACATTCTTGAGTATGCTTGACATACTCTCTTCCAGGCACCACGAGAGGCTTTCTAACACATCATCTCATTTAATGTAACTATTAATTCTAAGTACAGGTAAAAGTTTTAATTTGCTCAGCATCATAAAGTCAGCAAGTGGCAGAGCTTAGCACAGAGCCATGCACATGATACATATCCAATACATATTTGCTAAATCAAAAACCAAAAGTCCTGGGATTTGATGGCAGGACTAGCTCTCTCCGTTTTTGTATTCTTTTGCTATACCACTAAAAAATCTCCTAAAGAGTACCAACTAAGTGTACTATTTGAAAGAATGGAAATAGTTTCAGGGCACAAGGCGAACCAAGGTATGGCCTGCTGTTGTAGGGGAGGGTGTGTTGTTAGCAGAGGGTTAGGTCAGGATAAGGTTTCAGACAAAGCTCTAGTCAACCCTCACTGCTACCCCCTTCTCTGTGGGAGAACCCTCAGATTTCCCTGAACCAGAACAATGGCATATGGAATCTATGTAGGACTACAGTGACCTTGAGCCACCACTTCTAAAATATTTTCTAAAATATGCTCTGAGGGTAGAGACCTCTCTCTTTTGCATCTACAATGTGATCTTTTTTTTTTTTTTTTGGACGTTGCAGAGAGTGATTAACAATGACAACACTAATACAAACACTAGTAAGTAGTCAACAGGCTATGTCATTGACATATGTTACCTCTGCCATTTAATCCTATTAATAATGTTGGATGTTTCCTATCAGCACCCACATTTACAGGAAAGGAAACTTAAGATTAAACGATGGAACCAGAAATTGAGTCCATTTCTATCTTCACTTTCAAGTCTGTGCTACTGAGAGAAACACTCAGGGTAAAGGAGGGAGAGTGGAGGGCTCTGTGCTTTCCCCGTGGGACTTTCACACAAATCAGGCCCTGTGCAGCCTCCCCCCCCCCCCAGTACCTTCAGGTTTGCCCTTTGCAGGAACCCAGCCGTTATTTGCATAGGAAGTGCTTTAACAATCTCAATTACACCAGCAGGTGGAGTCATGTCCACTGGCAAACTAGCCAAATTCTATTCTTCTTGAGACATTGGTCCACTCGGAACACTGGGGCATTTCCCTGCCAGACAGGTCTGCACTGTGTCTACATCTCAGGTATTGCTTTTCCAAAAGCTCTCAATACACATACAAAATGTGTGTCCTTCACTGTGCCTGCGTAAAACACCCCATGGGCACAATGCAGCTTCCACTTTCAAGGCGATGGGAATACATGGGAAAGAGAAGGAGAAAGGACGTCACCAGGAAGTGCTGGTTCCTTTAGAAGGAAAGTCCTCTCCCAAAATAGGCTACCCTTTACACCTATTATTTGGGGGCAATCATGAGAAGAACCTCATGGGCAAGAGGGTCCCTTACAAATTTCAGGCCCAATGTAGAGAATGTAAGTCTCGGCACATAAATCACTATAACCGAGACTTCTGAATAATTTTTGCATTTTCTTTACCATGTGTGTAAAGTCTGAAACACTCCAAGTTGCTGGGACATCAAAGAGCCAAGCCCCAGAGATGCACTCAGGTTTTTAAACAATTAGCCTTGGATAAAATCCTGAATTAAATATATCTCAGAATAGTTATTTTTTCTTACTACTTGCTTTTTTAGACAAACTTAGAATTTATGTCTTAAAAATTCTCTGATTTCCAAGCAGAATTTAAAACCTGAAATCCATATAGGAAATCATTGACAAAGTTGACCGTGGAGAAATAAAATAGGAGCTAACAAACAACAGCTCCTATAAGCTTAACTGGCTCCATGAGCAAATTTCAACGACCACTGTATGGTTTTTATAATCTTCTCCCTTAACTAACTACTTGACCTTTTGAGTGTTTTCCAGAAATGATTGATTTTCTGTAAGACAAAGGAGTTGAAATTCTGAAACCTCCAGGCAGACTTCCTGATGCCAACACTCACCACCCCTGACCTGCCCCAAGGAAAGTGGCCCCTCTTTAAAAAGCCCATGATCTCTGATAGTCGGGGAGAGGGATTTGAGGCAGCTTCTCCTGCTCTCCCAACGAGATGCATTTCCTACTAAAAACGTCTTCCTTGGCAATCCTAGTTGACTCAGTAATTGGATGTTTGTGCAATGAGCTACTGGACCTAGACCAAAACCCCCTTGCAGTTTTGATAATATACGTTTTACACTAAACTACAGCTTTACATGTATAAAACTATATCTGCACCAAACCCTATGAGTTGTTTCTCATACTATACCCATTGTAAAGATGAGAAAATTGAGGCATCAATAAATTAAATAAATTATCAAAGGTCATAGTGCTAGTAAAATAGCTATAACTCAAACCTAGATGGTCTGACAGGTAATACTATGTTACTTGTCAAATGTTTTGAATGGCACAGAACAATATAAACAAATTCAAAGACTAATGACAAATAAGAAAATGGGAAATTGTAATCACAGCAAAATGGTGGATAAAAGGCGAATTTCCTTAACTTAAAATAACATGTAAAGCCATAAGAAAAAAATATGAACAACCCAAGATAAAAAAAAATGATTAAAAGATGTAAATAGGCACTTTACCATTTTCAGAACAATGTCCAATAAGCATATGAAAAGATGTTCTGAATCAGCTGCCTCTAAAGGAATGCAAATCATAACAACAATGAAATAGGATTTTTCTCTTATCAGAAAAATAAAAGTGAAAACATTTAATGATTCCCAGCACCAACAAGTGTGTGGGGAGACAGAGCCTCTCATAACAGTTGATGGGAGTGTAAGTTGGTGCAAAATTTCCAGAGGGGAATTTGGCAATACCTATTAAAATAAAAATGCACATAAATTTTGACTTAGAAATCTTATTGCTAGAAATGCATTTTTTTCAATTTATCTTGCACAGTATTACCAATGTAAGATGTAAGAGATATTCCATATAGCATTGCGTGTAGCAGCAAAAAACTGGAAACTATTAAGTTGTGAATCAATAGGCTTCTGAAATTATGGTATGTAAATATAATGAAATACTCTTAAACTGTTGCAATTTTTCCAACATGTAAGGTCTTAAAGATTATGATATTTTTTTAAAAAACAGAGAAAAGTATGTATGATTCCATCTTTTTTGTGTGTAACTTCCCCCGTGTTAATGAATCTAACAAGTGCTTTTAAAATGAAGAGCAAACCCCAGGATCTGAGCACACTGGGGACGGGGGCTGACCTCATGCCATGCCTGCTCAGTGTGCAGAGAAAGCCCTGCTCTCTGGCCATGACTGGAGTCTATCTGCTGTCTGAGTCGGCCATTCATGAGTAAGCATCCCGGCATCACCTTCTCCAGTGTAAAGAAGACTAGAGGCCTATCTCGTGGTCAGGAGACTCCCAGGTGCCACGGCCACCAGATCAAAGGCCTCAGACATGCACCTGGCTTCAGTCGGGTCCGATTTCAGCTCTGGTTTCTGAGTACGTGTATTAGCTGTCTGGCCACCTTTATCAAAGGACAGCCTTTCCATTTACTTAGTTTCTTCAAGCCTAGCCCTTCCAAACCCCTGCTTCCTCGTGTCCCCACCTGTTTTTGATTGTGATGTCCCTCCTGCCTTTCTTTCCGAGTCGGCCAGGGCCCTGGCACCCCCGCTTTACTGCGGAGTCGCTGAGAGCAAACCTGGCGCTCCCACAGCTGTCTGGTCTATGCACAGGGAGCTGCCTGCACGAATTAAGGCAGGCTAAGCCAGAACCAAATTAATAGCCCTGAGCACGACAAGGCGTTCCTTCTCTTGTCCCTCCTGATTCAGTGTGGAGCGGGGCTCAGGCCCTCACAGGCGCCCAGCCTCCCCGGCGGGCAGCTCCCTCCAGGCTTTGCAGGCCCAGAAGTCACAACCACCTCAAGGGCCTTTCCAGGGAAGAGAGGGCTAGAGGAGCCCCACTTGCAAATGCTTTGGCCTCAACTAACAAAGGGCACTTCCACACCCGTGAGGCCGAGTCATGTGAGCCTGCTTAACTGCGAGAGCCTTTTCCTGTACCGGGCACGAGAGGAGCCCCAGACGCCGGCCTGCGAGTGGGAGGGCTCTCCTCCGCCTTGAGGCCCAGTCAGGAGACCTGAGAGCAGGACCCTCCACACCCAGCCAGCCAGCACCCGGGCCTGGGGGGAGGCGTCCACACCAGGTGAGAGAACTGCGCCTGCAGTAAACGCAGGCCCTAATGCCCCGCGCCGGTTGTCTGGGCTCCACTCGGCCACTGTGCCAGCAGGCTGCCCTCCTCGGCCCGTGGTGTCCTTGCCGTGCGGGGAGGGACTCGGGGCTGTGGGAGGAACGGACTACATGTAAATTGCAGTGAATGCTCTTCAGCACGTAGTGAACTTTATATAATACTACTCTATGATAACAATTGCTATGAATTAATCAATTTAGCATTACTACCCCCTTGTCTTTCCCCCACCCCCAGGAATTTAGTTAACTGGAAGCACTCTTGGAAAAAATACTCTCTTTCTGCAAAGTGTAGCTATTCTTCCCCTGAACAGCAGTTTCCTTCAGTCAGGGTAGCAGAAGGTTGACAGGTCTTGGAGGGCTCCTGGAGGGAGTGCTCAGGTCGCAGCAGTTAAATTTGCAATGGTGAAGAGCTGCGCGCCCGCTGACATGGTACCAGGGCATCCAGAAATGATGGCTTGTGGCTCACTACTGGCACCTTGTGGCAGAGAGACCAACTGCAGCTGGACAAGCTCAGCCGTCGGGGGACAGGGTGGTCTTTTTTCCCTTCTGAGGAGCGCGGCCAGGGCTGAGTCCTTTTATGCAGCAGTGAAGATGTCAAGGAGGGAAGAAAGGCACTCTTGCAGAGGGTGGATGTCTCTGGACAATAAAATGGAACACAGGTAAATTATAACACATATTCAAGAAAATATATTCATTAGACAGCTAGATGTAACATTTGTATGTTTATTTTTTTAATATTTATTTCAGTCTTTTAAACTGAATAAAAATTAATAACACCAATAGATTAATGTTAAAAAAGACCAATTCAGTGAAGGTTAGCGGGGATATTTGTTGACACTCAGTGGTTTATTGGGTGACTTGGGGACCCACGCTTTCTCCAAGAATGCTGTGCTCAGCTGCAATCGGACATTAGCCTTTTACAGGCTCCCACAATCCTTCTAAACACTGAATTTTCCCTCAGCAAGATTCTCTGGCTCCTCCTTTAATCTGTGTCATCAAGAATTTCTCGATTAATGATATTTTACCCTTTGTCTCTGAGCTTTCCCTCTCTCATAATAGTGGGGCAATCTGTAAGAGTTATATATTTTATTATTTATTTTTATAAATACAGGACCTGTTTTATCTGATCTACCTTTTAGCTATTCCTCTTCAAATTCCACAAAGATAAAAACACAAAAGTTCAAATAAATTATAATTTTCCATTTCCTCTTTAAATGAATGATGCATAATCTATACTTTTACCGTTATCATTCTAATCCCTAATTCATGCTAATCTGGGATTTAAAGAAATCAATCACCAGGATTAAAGGAATGATGACTGGAGCTCAGGATGACTTCAAGCATTGCAGGGCTGGAAAGTACATATAGCATATAAATTTTAAAATCAGTGATTGCTATAGAATGATGATAGTCTCAGTGACAACTTTAACATAGCAAAATGAGAAGACAATAGGTATAACCGTTTGGCCAAGTCATTCTCACTGTTAAGTCCTTGTCTAAATTTGGCCAGACCCTTGATCCAAATGATGTATGTCTGTTGACATTCTAGGAGAAAAAATAGGTAGGAGGCTGCTTGCTTTTATATCTTGAAATGTAACTGATAAATATCAGCAGTGAAACAAATATAAATGTGTAGAATATGTTTTACAACATTTAGCATGAGCAGCTGCCTGGTAATAAAAGTGGAATTTGAAAATATGTGTTTTTTTAAGTAGGGGAAGCACCTAAGAAAATTCAGGAGTTTGCTGTTGCTGTTCTACAAAGATATTCAAGCCATTAAAAAATTTTTAAAAAGCAATCTGCATTCAATCATAAGCTTGGCTCACTCATACACATGCTATTCAATCATAAGCTTAGAGCATGCATACACATGTGCGGGTAAAAGGAAATATCAGGAACCATTCTCACAATTACCTCCTTTTGCTCAATTTTTGATTTGTTCAGACTTTTTTATAATGGGTGATTTTGATACAGGAATGGAAAATAATTTAAATGATAATGTGTTCTGCAAAAGTGCCTCTTTACCTCAGCTGCTTCTGTGAAAGATTTCTCATCCTAACAGTGTTATACTCCCAAGGCTTATTAATGTCCTCCTGTTCCACTGGGATATTTTCAAAATAGACATTGCTGGAAGTCTGATATCATAGGTTTTTTGGAGATACCTTGATCAGGTTAGCAGAACTCTTAAATTGTTTTCCCAGCTTCAGCATTCACTTTTGAATCTACAATTTTATGCCTGGAAACAATGTTGTGCATCTGACACAAGCCTTTCATTTCAGATTTAAAGACACTGGTGCAGAAATCTGTAGTGACTTATTCAAGGTCACACAGAAACTCAGGGATAGATACTGTGCTAAAATCCAGCTATATGGCCCCTTCCTCCAGCTCTGACTAAGATGTAATATGGCCTCTTGTGTTCCCAAATCTGGGCACGTTCCTGTATAGAAAAATATAACTTTAGTTATTTGATAAACCAAACGTCTAACCTGTTGTGAAAACAAAAACAAACAAACAAACAAACAAAAAAGAAAGAAAGAAACTGAAGTATAAGGTATGCTTTTATTAGAGAGATTTGTTTTTAGTGATTACTTCTCCAGGTAGGTAAAGTTCTGGAAGTTGTGAGTACAAATATGGAGTTATGCACAGAGGTGGCAGGAAAGGGAAATGGAATTTCATTTGCAAATTTCATGGAGAAAAGATGATAGAGAAGAATGATTCACAAAGCAAGAAAAATGCAATAAAATCCCTCATTACCATAATACCCCCCATGCCAAAAGTAAGCTCCCACTCCACACCCAGCTAGATTTCAGTTTCGTCAACTCTACTACCATTTTTACTGTGCAAGCACATTCCAGCTATAAGAGAAGTGATTAAGGAAACGTATTTCTTTTTACAGAAATTTTCTGAGCATCAGCTTTGAGGAATCCATCTCAAACTGTCAAATATCTTTCTACTTGGTACAAAAATATGATTCATATCACATTATATAAAGTGTATTGTATTATAAATGGATCAGTATTTTCAATATGGCTTTTTTGAGCTATGAGAGGAATTGGAGAAGCCTTTTGCATTGAGTCTGAAATGTGTTTTCTATAAAGAAAGGTGAAGAAAACAGTTTAATCTTATGAAGGGAAAACATAAACATATTTTTATTATACATTATGAGCTGGATGTTTTAAAGAATAGAAACAGGTTCACAGGTACCCATCTATCACTAGTCTTGCGAGGAAAAATGCAGGAGGAAGGAGGGAGAGACCATGCTTGCTACTGGCAGTGCCACCAGCTGATAAAGTGGCATCCCGCCTTGCACTCAGTGTCCACTGCCTTCTCTGGAGTTCCAACTGGGCCTCTCCTTCTTGCATGAAGGACTTCAGGAGCATAAGGTGGCCAATAGCATGAATGTGGAACTCCTTGAGGACAAATGAGATTGGAAAGCAAACACATATTCTGTCCTTTAGCAAAACATCAGAAATAACCATTTCCAGTGATTTAAGATAGGATGGCACAGGCAGGATAATAGTGTATATTGTATAAAAAATAATGTTGAGGCAAACTAAGATGTACATTGTACTCTCTGCTCATATTTCATGATAGCAATACATAGATACATTTGTACCCACTCCCACCTGCCACAATGTTGTGATCCTTGAGAAGATTCATTAGGGCTGCCATTGTGAAGTGTCAAAATGACAATTAGCTGCATTCAACACTTAGCTATATCTCCCAACTCTGATATTTCATTTCTAGCTGAAAATTATTTCTATGGTTAGCCAATCACCAGCAGACCTTTCATCATAAATCTGGAATCATTGCATTTTATATGATTAAATCAACAAATAATTTATTGATGTCCTAAATAATAATATTTTAACATGATTTACCTGTAAAATAACTTAATTGAACAAAAATATGAATTATCATACCGTTCATAATAATACCAATGTGGGCAATGCATTTTATCAACAAGTGTTCAGAAAAAATGTAATAATAATCATAGGTAATATTGTAGGGTTGCTGATTTTATTTTTTATTTTTAAAAATGTTGACAAACATGAGATCAGACAAGATTTCTCTATATTCAGGCTGAATCTTATTTTCTGGGGTGGGGAATCAAACCTTAATGATCTTTTTATTTCTAAGACTTTTTGGGAAAGAGATAACATAATCACCTATTCCAAAAAGTGAGAGCAAAATAATAAATTACTTTTGGCTTTTAGTACCTACTAAAGTTCTTTTGTATAAACTGGGTATTCAAAAATACCTCTTGACTTTAAATGGATTTCCAAATTAAATCCAACCAATACAGATTTATTAAATGCCTAACCTCTATTCATTTGTTGAGCATTTACCTGTTGTGAGGAATTAGCTGGGCCTTGGGCATGTAAATGTGAAGGAAGCACAGGCCCAGTTCCAGCCCAGGTGAGCAGAAGAGGAAGGGGCGAGTCAGCAGCTGCAGGAGAGTGTGTCAGGTTCTCTCCTGCTGCAGAGCCGGGCACTGTGGATCCAGCCCTCTTGGGATTCAAGAGAGGCTTTTTGGAGGAAATAGGGAAAAGGATTTTGGCCCTATGAAGTCTCATGACTTCTAGATTCATAATTAAGATGGAATAAAGAAAAAGGCACCTAGCTATGATAACAAGGAGAAAAAAAATAAGAACAGTGATACTAACAAAGGAGCTCCAATGTGAAGCTCCAATGTGAAGACAGAAAGGGAATCTAATTCTAAAGATTAGGGTGTGTCAATTTTGTTTATTTTTTTGAAGAACCAACTTTTTGTTTTATTGATCTTCTGTATAGTTTCCCTGTTGTCAATTTCAATTAATTCTGATTTGATCTTGTTAATTTCACTTCTTCTGCTGGGTTTGGAGTTGGTCTGTTCTTCTTTTTCCAGCTCTTTGAGTCGATTCATTAGATTGTCTATTTGTGATCTTTCTGATTTTTAGATATAGGCATTTATGGAAATAAACTTTCCTCTCAGTGCTGCTTTAGCTGTGTCCCAGAGGATTTGATAACTTAGCTCTCCATTGTCATTAAGTTCAAAGAATTTTTTGATTTCCATCTTGATTTCCTCATTTATGATGTAATGATTTTGCAGAAAGTTGTTTAATTTCCACATTTTTGTGTAGAAATGTGAGTTTCTGTTAGGGTTGATTTCTACTTTTATTCCACTGTGATCCGAGAAGATACATGGTATAATTTCTGGGTTCTTTTTAATTTTTTGAGACTTGCTTTCTGTTCTAGGCTATGGTCAATCTTAGAGAATGTCCCCTGAGCTTATGAGAAGAACATATATTCAGTGGATTTGGGGTAGAATGTCCTATAAATGTCAGTCAGGCCCAACTGTTCTAGAGTTTTGTTTAAGTCCATTACTTTATTAACTTTCTGTTTGGAGGATCTGTCCTGTGCAGTCAGTGGGATGTTGAAATCTCTGGCTATTATGGGGTTGCTCTTTATCAATTTGCTTAGATCCAGTAAGGTTTGCTTTATGAAACTGGGTGCATCTAAGTTGGGTGCATATATATTTACAATTGCTATGTCTTCTTGTTGAACTGTACCCTTCACCATTATATAATGACCCTCTTTGTCTTTCACTACTTTTGTTGGTTTAAAAACTAAGTTATCTGAAATCAGAACTGCCACGCCAGCCTTCTTATGGCTTCCATTTGCTTGAAATATTGTTCTCCATCTGTCTACTTTAAGTCTATATGCATCCTTGCAGGTTAGATGTGTTTCCTGAAGGCAGCAGATACTTAGCTTGTATTTTTTCATCCATTCAGCCAGCCTATGTCTCTTGAGTGGGGAGTTCAAGCCATTCACATTTATTGAGAGAACTGATAAGTGGGGCAGATGTCTGTTCATTCTGTTGGGTTGAACTTTGTTGCTTTGTTTTATCTCTTGAGCCATTGTAATATCTGGCCTTTAATCTTTAGCTTTTTAGTGTTTTTACATTCATGAGTATTTATTATGCTGATCCATGGGTAACACTGTTTTGAGTACTTCTTGTAGGGCTGGTCTTGGTGAATTCCCTCAGTCTTCGCTTGTCTGAGAATGTCTTTATTTCTCCTTCATACATAAAGATTGGGGTAAATTTCACAAGAGAACTGGCATTTCATCCAAGGGATGAGTAGAAAATTGTGTGTGGAGTAGAGAAGAAATTATTTCATACCTAGGAAATCACAGGCAAAGCCACAGAGAGCCCCGTTGAAGAGCAGGTTGAAGAAGCGACAGTTCTCCGGTAAGGCTGGATGAGGGCGCTGTGCCGCGGGAGGGAGACGCGACCCCAGGGCCCAGACGCAGCTTCTGTTTCTATGTGTCCCCGCTCAGGGTGACTTTCTGAGCGAGTGCAGAAGGGGCAGTGGGAGCAGACGGATGGGGAGCGCGGTTCCCCACACCAAGTGGGCGTGAAGAATTAGGAGAAGCTCCCCCCTTTTGTGTCGTTGTTTCTCCCGGTTTTTCCTAATGAGCTGGCCTCTGCTCCCTTCGCCCCGCTTCATTCTGGCCACCCCGTAGTAGAAGCCACACCTCCTCCTTTTCCGGATTTGCAAAGAGCTTTCCTCCCCGGCCTCGGTGCGCTGCGCCCTCTGCCTGCCGCGCCTGCACGTCCTGGCTCCTTGCCGTCCTCTCAGTTCGCAGGTCCTGTCCCCTGGAGGCCTCCCCGCAGGGCCTGCTCCTCCAGCGCCTCTTCACGGTGCGAAAGCGCCTCCTTGGTGGATTTGTGCCCGCGTTTATTTTCTGTCTTCCCGACTGTAGCACAGACTCCCTGCGGGCGTCTCTCCGCGCTGTCCGATGGCAGGCCCACCGCGGGGACTGGCCGCTGCAGGAGCCTGCGCCGCGGAACGGATCACCAAGCTCACCGCGGGGACTGGCCGCTGCAGGAGCCTGCGCCGCGGAACAGATCACCAAGCTCACCGCGGGGACTGGCCGCTGCAGGGCCTGCGCCGCGGAACGGATCACCAAGCTCACCGCGGGCCGCAGCGTCTCAAAGCGCTGCTCACCACCCAGAGAATCCAGGCGCATGGAGTCGCCCCTCCGCTCCCAGACTCGAAGAAAATGCAAATAAATGAATCGGTAAATGTTCCCCGGAGATTTTTATAATGTTCTAAACATGTAATTTTGAAGAGTACAGTCTAATTAGAAGGAACAGGAACAGAAATGCCAAGGTGATGCTTTTACCCAAAGACGGAATGGCTGCTTTTGGCTGAGCTGGGCTAGAGACGGCAAAGAGGGCTCTTGAGCAGTGGAAGTTCGGGAGAAGAAGCATGCTCTGATGCCCTGCCCCTGGGTGACGACTTTTCTGCAGTGCAAACTTGTCACAACAGCTGTGAAGTCCCCATGAAAGGCAAACACCCGGGGGAACAATCAGCTGTGGCTGCGCACCCACACCGCTGGGCCCACCCAGTTATCTGGACTTTCCTTGTAAAGAAAGCACCGGGAGGTGGGGGCGTGGGGGAGGTGACAGCTGGCCCATGAGGGGCTGGTCTCTGGGACCCGGGAGGCCGCACTGAGGGGCCTGGGGGCAGGTCCTGGACCGCGGCTGCTGCGTGCCCGCACGGAGGGGTCACCGGAGAAGTAGTGTGAGCAAGTCATCCTTGAGGCCACGCCCTTTCCCGTAGCCTATTTTGAGTGAAAACAACTTTGTAAGTGGCTCCTTTATAACGAAATCTCTTTAATAGTCCTGATTGAGAGTCCCACTGTTGCCGGATGGGGCTCTGATAGAGATGAGTTGGTGGGGCTCCCAGAGCCAGCCGGGAACAGAGGAGCTGGGGGCAGAGGCGTCCTCCTGTGGGGAGGACAGGGAAGGGGTGGCCAGCAGCTCACAAGCCAAGGGTGGACGGCCGTGACCCCACGGGGAGGCCACAGCTGGAGGAGGCTCCCGCGCCCCATCCCCAAGAGGCACTGCAGCCTATTTAAAATGCTGGCAAGGTGCCATAGGCTGGCCCAGGAATTTAATGTACGTTTCCGTATTTAAATTTCGCAGCACCCCACGGAGCGATTTTCTCCTTCTCATCCGCATTCCAGATGAGCAGGGCCGGGGTCAGGTCGCGGTCTCTAGGGTGCCCTGTTCCAGGGCAAGGTACGGCCGGTGCTCAGCGGGCACAGACGGGACGGGGCCACCCTTCCTTCCATAAACTCGTTTCTCCAGGAGCTCCGGGCAGAGACCCGTTCCCATCGCTGACGATTTAGCCGGGTAGGGATCTTTCCTGATGGGGGAAGGGGTCTGATGTAATAATGAAGAGGGAGAGATTTATCCAGGATAAAGTGAACAGTGTTTCTAAGCTTTGGTTTTATGATCGGGTAAATAAGGAAACATCACGTCTAGCACCTGTCTACAGGAGGGTGGATGTGAACCTAACGTGAAATCTGAGACTGAGGCAGGTAAGTTGCCAACGGGGGGCATGCGCGAGGGGGCTCAGGCGCTACCGAGACGCGGACTCCGTAGACGGCGCCGGGTGCGGGCCGCTGGGCTGAGACTCCTCCCGCGGCGCCCGCGCCTTGGGGCCCGCAGAGCTCCGGCCGCGCCAGGGCTGGGCCGGGCGCAGTCAGGCGGGCGGTGAGTCTGCAGGGGCCTAGCCGCCCACTGCTCTCCTCAGCTTCAGCAAGGAGAGACTTAGCGGCTGCCTGGGGGAAAATACGTTGACCCTGGAGTCAGACCAAGCCTTGTCTCAGGTTTCTACGAGCCTGGGACCCTGGGCAGGCACCTGCCTGTCTGAGCGTCAGGCGCGAATAGGACGTGGACCTCAGCACCCACCTCACCACGTGGATACGTGTGGAAAGAGACGAGGCCTGTAAAGGCCCCACTGGTGTCCGGCACAGGCCTGGCTGTTGAGGGACCCCCTCAGCAGGGTCCCCCCAGATCCAACTTTTCACAAGCTTGACTCCACCAGCAGGACTGAGGTGCAGGCACCCTCCTTCCCTCTCCTGTAGCAGCACTGGTTAAAAGTGACGAATACTTTTAAATCCCTTTCCCTCAGGTCTGACAGTGCAGCAACGCCACGGTATGGTTCCAGCTACTCTAAGAGCATTTCCCCTCAGTGATAAATTCTTAGGAGACCACTGCTTCAAACAGTGAAATCTTCACTGTGATTTGAAATGCAATAGTGGGTAATGAGAGAGAGAGTAGACACTCCATAATGGAAGTAAATATTCATTCTGGAATATACGCAATCCAAACAAGAACAAATGGGCAGCGTAATGAAATAAAAGTTGACTTTGCCACGTGCTTTTGAAGCAATAGGAAGACACAGTGTGCAAGGCCCAGCCTGCAGAGTGGAAGCAGCCTTAGCAGAGGCTCCTAGTGGACAGCCCTAGACACCATCTGTCATCTCGTGCCATTCATCCATACCTATCAAACAGGATGACATCCAATACAAAATAAGAAGGATGAAGGTTGCAGCAATTTGCGAAATTTATTATTGATGTCAAGCCATGTAACTTTAGCTAGTGCTTGGCTAAAATTTGCTGAGCATAATCATGTCTCTGAACAAAGGGTTATAATTATCAACTGTCTTTTCAAATATAAACTCCTACCGAAAGGGTCAGATTGGCTGTAAATCACCTGACCTTTATTAGAGGAAACATTGTTATGAACCTGGTTGCTTTTTTCTTTCCTAGGAAAACCACATTCTTAATTTTCTCCTATTTTTGAATATTTTTTATTTCTATTTTTTAAAAGAAATACATTTTTTTTAAGTTTCAAACTCTGGGAAGCAAAGTTACCTACATTATTAGGGGGTGAATTCAGGAGACTTCACCTTCTCTGTATTTGTGTTTGTTTGGTGAGAGACTGGGAGAGTCAGGAATCTCCTGGGGAAACAGCCACTAGCGCGTGAGTAAAATGGGCAGGAGACAGACTCACAGCAGAACACGTGCACAGAAGGGCTGACCTGAGGGAGAGATCACATCCAGAGGAAAGAGTTTTCGATGAGAAGATGAATTCAGAAACAGGACATGAAGTCTAAATAGCCATAGTGGTTCTGGAAGAGAATGGTGCAGTTTTGTTTATCCATTCTCACCTCGGCACTTCTGTGACTCAGCTTATATAAGCACACTGGGACACAAAGTCATACTTCTGTCCCTTAATTTGTAATGCATTGATTCTAAAGCACTGCTGTGATCAAACACTTTAAATGGAATGGTAAGCATTTACCTTTTCTCTGGAATATGAAAGTCATCTCCAGAGGACCAAGGTAGCCTCGCTTTTCATCTGAGTGAAGAACAGAGAAGGAGACCAGCAAGGAAGAGTCAGAGCTCGAGCTGTGCTGGAATGGGATGTTCGGGGACACTGGGTCTAGGCACACTGCAAGCCTGGATAGGTGGCACCGCCAATCTCTATACCTGTCCGGATGGTCACTCCGACACTAAAAGAGTGAACTAGCTAGTTAGGGTTACCCTCCATCAGGGTTGGGTAAATGTTCTCTATAAAGGACCAGATAGCATTTCAGGCTTTGCAAGCAGTCTCAGTTGCAACTACCAAGCTCTGCATTTTAATGCAAAATCAGCCACAGGTTAACACATACACAAAAGAACATAGCTATATTCCAATGACACCTAATAGACACTAAATTTGGACTGTCATGTGCTTTATGTCATGCAAATGTTATTTTGATATTTTTTTCAACCATTTAAAAATGGAAAACTTATTCTTAGCTTGAGGTCTGTAGATGCTAGTGTGGATGTAGAGAGAGGAACACTTCTACATTATTGGGGGTATTGCAAATTAGTATAACCTCTATGGAAAACAGTATGGAGATACCTCAAAGAACTAAAAGTAGACCTACCATTCAATTTAGTAATCCCACTACTGGGTATTTATCCAAAGGAAAATAAGTCATTTTATCAAAAGATACCTGCACTAGAATGTTTATTGCAGCACAATTCACATTTGCAAAGATGTGGAATCAACCCAAATGCCCATCAATTCATGAATAGATTAACAAAAATTGGTATATGTATACCATGCAATACTACTCAGCTAGGAATAAGGATGTCTTAATGCCTTTGCAACAATTTGGGTGGAATTGGAGACCATTCTCCTAAGTGAAGTATCTAAAGAAGAGAAAAGCAAACACATGTACTCGCTATTAAATTGGAACTAATGGAGCACACATATGCACAGAGGCAAATAAAACTCAACGGAAATCAAGCAGGGGAGGGGGGAGAAGGGGTTGGGTAGAAACCTACCTAAGAGCTACAGTGAACACTATCTGGATGATAGGCACATGTATAACCCTGAATCAAGCATTATAAAAGTGATCCATGTAACCAAAAATACTTGTACCCCTGTAATACTTTGCAATAGGGAAAAACAAAAACAGTGGTGGCCTAGATTTGATCCACCAGCCATAGTTTGCTGAGCCAGTTCTATTATCCCCATATTATCCCCATATTATCCCTACAATCTTATCACATTCTAAATCTTGGTTGACCACCTAGAATCCACCAGGCTCAGGAGGAGAGTCAGCTCGTGCCGACAGGGGAGACGGCGCTTTGGTCGTACTTGCGCACTCTGTGCCTGACCATTGTACCCTCTTACACGTGCTTGCCACAAATAGTGAATGGACAAACTCATGTTTTTCCCCTTTCAGAGAAGTTTCTTCCTTCTCAGTTTTTAAGAATGCCTTGCCTCCACGCCAGGGCGGCGCTGTAGAGACATCCGGACTTGAAATCCCTCCGCAATCATGACTAGGATGAAGCGATCAAATGGCAGAAACCAGGACACGGTGCCCAGTGACTTCTCCAAATATCCTGGAATACTGGTTGAATAAATTATCGAATGAATTTTAAAAGGACTGTTTACACCTGTTTATATTTATACCTGGCATATATCTTAGCATCCCGCCCAAAATAAATACTCAGTAAAGATTATTACAGTTAATACTTGATTTGAAAATGGAAATTTCATTGACAGTATGTTGAAAACAGACACTTTGCCTTATTTTTTTAGAGTTCATGGCATAGTTGCCCCCCAAGCTTACTTGAAGTAAACAAATAATAGGAAAATTGAATGATAATTGAATGAATGAATGAAGTAATGTAACTAGAGACCTTTGGCCTATAAACATAATTTTTCAGGAAAATACTTTCTTATTCTTCAAAAGGTACAAAGTTGTTTCTGTTTTTTTCTTCTGCTTTCTTCTTTCACAAATATGGAAGCCATTTGCTTGGTTTTACCACTTACAGTGAGAGGAAGGGGAGTAGTTTCCAGGGTCTGTTTTTCTGACTTTTATTTTCACTTATGTTTCTTTATTTTTCCCCGTTCTGTATACAGGGGAAGCTTCAAGTCTCACTGGGAATCCTTGAGCAGTAACCATGCCTGTCTGCAATTCAGCACGCTTGGGAGATGAAGGAGCTCCACTCACACTGCACCCTGCGAGAGCTCACCCTCCAAGAGTGCCTCGTGGCCATGGGGACGTGGATGTGTTATTTCAACTCCGTCTCTAAATGTGTTGTCTCAGCAGGGGCAATACATTGTGGAGGTTCACTTCAAACCAAAGGGTATGATAAAGATTCCCTTCTATCCCTAAGGGAATAAAAAAATTATAGCTAGAGGGAAAAATAAACTTCACAGAAATAAACTCCAAGCTGTATCATAATTTAAAATGTGATTCTTGGAAAGTTTCTGTGGCCAGATCCAGAGAAAAAGAAACTACAAATTAAACAACAATTAAAAAGACATCACTCACTATCTTTATTATTCAGTGACCATTTCTTGAGGGGCACTTGGCATAGGATTGTTCCTAAAACCAATAAACTTAAGAATTCCTGAACTCCCACGGGTCCGTTACCATTTTTCATCAAGATCTTCAAGAAAGATGGACCTCAAACCTGGTTAATGAGAAGGAAAAGGAAAATAATTAAAATATGTCTTAAGGCATAATGAACTAATATTTTAAAATGGTAATTTAATGTACTAATAGGTTTCCAAAACCAATTTATCAACATCATCTATGCTATACCAAGTGTCAGTTTCCAAGTTTGCTTTGAGGCATGCTTGTGTAGCTCTGTAAACGGATTGTATGAGACTGCAACTCTGTGAACTATAGGTCCTCCATACCCAGCAATATATGGGGTGATTCTAGAGAACTGGACTCCATTCTCTGATGAGGCCAGTGATAACATAGACATGAAGGCAGTGCTAACCACATTGTCATACGTAAGCGTCTTATGTTCACTTGAGCGATAAAAATATTGACAATTCCAACTTCCTACTATGTGTGTGTCTATTAGAAGGCTTTTGATTACAAATACAATTCATAGAATTTTACAGCCTAAGGATGTTCATTGCTTAATCAACAAGAAGTTTCAAGGTTGGTGGTCTCACACTTAATTGAGTAGCTCACCAGTGTCTTATTTGCAGTTGTTGACATTTTGACATGTTGACATTTTGACATATGTTGACATATGGGTTGTTTCCTTGGGATCACAAGTCCCGTATATCACAGTCCTAGAAACAGGAGAGGGATAGGGCAAAGATGTCTCTTTCACCAAAATTTGTGGCTTTTTAATCTGGGAAGGGAAGTGGCCTCTAGAGTTCCTCTTAGGTGTCACTTGAGAGAATTTAAGCACATTCCCATCCCTGGACCAATCACCGGCAAAGGAGAATGAAGCAGCCATTACCAACCTTGGCCAATCATAACATCCTTTGAAGCTGCAGAAGAGAGTTACATTGCTTTGATTAAGGATGCTCATCCAGCTACAAAATTGGGGTAATGTTAACAATGAAGAAGGTGGGCACTGGCTCTTCTGTAGGCAATGGAAAGTGCCACAAATGAGAAACTAAATGCTTATCAAAAAGATAATGATTAAAGTAAAGGGGACATACACATGGAGCTAAATTTTATGAAATTACTTAAAGGTATATATCTAGATTAATACCTATTGTTTGATAAGGATTTTCATAAAATTGAGAAAGGCAAGTTGTAAAAAAGAAACAAAAACAATGACAAATGCCCAAGACCTGTGTAATGTTATTTTTATGTGCCTGGAGAAAGTTGAACAGGCATGCACTCAGACTTGTTAACATGGACCTCCTCATTGCTTGCTTCATGGGAGGAAGGAATGAGGGTCTTTGGGAAAGTTTTCTCCATGTATTTTTGTATTGATTTATCACTTACAATGACTTTAGACTACCTTCTCCCAGTGAGATAGAACTGAATTTCTTATTAATAAAGGAATAATAAACAATGGAAAGGATACCATGTTAGACATAAATACAACATGTTAACATACATAAGGATTGATAGCCAAGCATACGCTCAGGGTATAAGGGGGTGAAGGAAGAAACTGAAATGTGATTGCTGGACCAAATATGGTAGTTCTACTTTTAATTCTTGAGGTATCTCCATACTACTTTCTATAGAGGTTGTACTGGTTTGCAGTCCCAACAGCAATGTAGGAGTGTTCCCATCTCTCCACATCCAGTCCAACATTTGTTGTTTCGGGACTTTTTGATAAAAGCCATTCTCCCTGGACTTAAGTGATATCTCATTGTGGTTTGGATTTGCATTTTTCTGATGATTAGACATGTTGATCCTTTTTTTAAATGTTTGTTGGCCATCAGTCTGTCTCCTTTTGAAAAGTTTCTGTTCATTTCCTTTGCCCACTTTTTGATAGAGTTGTTTGATTTTTTCTTGCTGATTTTCCTGAGTTCTATATAGATTCTAGTTATCAGCCCTTTATCGGATGTATAGCATGCAAATATTTTCTCCCTTTATGTAGGTTGTCTGTTAGCTCTAGTCATAGTTTCTTTGGCTGTGCAGAAACTTTTTAATTTGGCCCGGTCCCATTTATTTATTTTTCTTGTAGCTGTGATTGCCATGTCTATAAGAATTTTTCTAACATTATCTGCTAGAATTCTTATTGTGTCATGCCTTAAATTTAGGTCTCTTATCCATTGTGAGTTGACTTTTGTGAGAGTTGCAGATCTTGTTTCAGTCTACTACATGTGGCTATTGAATTCCCCTACCACTGTTTATTGAAGAGAGATTCTTTTCCTTAGTATATGATTTTCTCTGCTTTATCAAAGATTAGATGGCTATATGAGAATGATTTTGTGTCTGGGTTCTCAGCTTTGTTCCATTGATTTATGTCTCTGTTGTGGTGCTAATACCATGATGTTTTGGTTACTGTAGCCTTGTATTATAGCTTGCAGTCTGGTAAATTGATGTCTCCCAATTTGTTCTTTCTGCTTAAGATTGTTTTAGCTACAGGTCTTTTCTTGTTCCATACAAAGCATAGAATTATTTTTTCTAGATATATCTGTGAAAAATGATGTGGGTGTTTTGATAGGGATTTCATTGAATCTGTACATCACTTTGGCTGGTTAGACATTTTAACAATGTTGATTCTGCTGAGCCATGAGCATGGTATAATTTTTCATCTGTTTACATCCTCTGTTATTTCCTTTCTCAATGTTTTGTAGTTCTCCCTGTAGAGGTCTTTTAACTCCTTAGTTAAATATATTCTGAGGTATTTTATTTTCTTTATTGCTATTGTGAAAGATATTGAGTCTTTGATTTGGTTCTCAGTTTGACTGTCGTTGATGTATAGGAATGCTACTGATTTGAGTACATTGATTTTGTAACCTGAGACTTTGCTGAACTTATTATCAACTCCAGTAGTCTCCTGGCAGAATCTTTTGAGTTTTCTAGCTATAAAGTCTTATCATCAGCAAAGAGTGGTAGTTTGACCTCTTCTGCCCCCATTTGGATGCCCTCTATTTCCTTATCTTATTGCTCTGGCTAGGACTTCCAGCACTATGTTGAATAGAAGTGGTGATAGATAGCAACTTGTCTGGTTCCAGTTCTAAGCAAGAAATGCTTTCAAAATTTCCCTATTCAATATGATGTTGGCTGTGAAACATATATGGTTCTATCATTTCAAGACCTATATATCTATTTTGTTAGGTGTTTTTATCATAATACTGTCCTGAATTTTGTCAAATGTTTTTTCTATATCTATTGAGAGGATCATGTAGTCTTTGTTTTTATTTCAGTTTATGTGGTGAATCATAGTTATAGATTTCTGTATGTTGAACCATCCATTCATCTCTGAGATGAAGCTTACTTGGTCATGATGGATTGTTTTCTTGATGAGCAGCTGAATTCTATTTCCTATGATTTTATTGAGAATTTTCATGTCTATATTCATAAGATATATTGGCCTGTAGTTTTCTTTTTTTGAGTCCTTTCTTGATGCTGGTATCAGGGTGATGTTGGCTTTATAAAATGTGTTGGGGAGGATTCCTTCCTTCTCAATTTTGTGGAATAATTAGTGCAAGATAGTCACCAGTTCTTTGTAAGTCTGGTAGAATTTGGGTGTGAAACAATCTAGTACAGGAGTTTTTTTTTTTTTTTTTTAGAAAGGTTTTTTATTGTTGCTTCAATTTTGGTACCTCAGATTTGTCTCTTCAGGAGTTCTATATCTTCCTGATTGAGCCTAAAGAGGCTGTGTGTTTCTAACAATTTGTCCATTTTTTTCTGTTTTCAAGTTTATGTGCATAGAGATTTTTATAGTGTTCAGAGATTACATTTTGTATTTCTGTAGTATCAGTTGTAATTTCTCCTTTTTCATTCCTAATTGAGCTTATTAGAGTCCTTTCTTTTCTGCTTCTGGTTAATCTAGTGAAAGGTATGCCAATTTTGTTTATCTTTTCAAAGTATGAGCTTTTTGTTTTATTAATCTTTCTTATAGTTCTTTTATTATTGATTTCATTTAGTTCTCCTCTGATCTTGGTTATTTCTTTTCTTTTGCTGGGTTTGGGATTGGTTTGCTCTTCTTTTTTACAGTTCTTTAAGTCACTTCATTAGATTGTTGATTTGTGATCTTTCTGTCTTTTGGATGTAATCATTTAGGCTATGAATTTTCCCATCAAGACTGCTTTAGCTGTGTCACACAGATTTTGGTAACTTGTGTCCCCTTTATCATTTAGTTAAAATAATCTTTTGATTTCTGTCTTAATTTTCTACTTGACCCAATACTCATTCAGCAGTAGGCTCTTTAGTTTTCATGACTTTGTGTAGATGTGTTTCTGCTGGAGTTGATTTCTAATTTTATTCCTGTGGCCTGAGAAGATGAATGGTATAATTTCTATTTTTTAAATATTTATTGAGACATGTTTTGTGGCCTAGAATGTGGTCAATTTTAGAGAATGTCACAAGAACTAATAAGAAGAATGTATATTCAGTGTTTTTGGTGTAGAAAGTTCTGTAAATGTCTCTTAGGCCTATTTGTTCTAGAGTTTTTCTTAAGTCAATTGTTTCTTTGTTCATTTTCTGTTTGAAAGATCTATCCTGTTCTGTCAGTGGGGTGTGAAGTCCTTGGCTATTGCAGTGCTGTTGTTTATCATTTCATTTAGATCAAGTAGGATTTGCTTTATCAATGTGGGTACACCTATTTTGGGTGCATAAATATTTGGAATTGTTATGTCTTCTTGTTTAATTGTTCCCTTTACCATTATGTAATGACCATCTTTGTCTTTCATTACTTTTGTCAATTTGAAGAGTAAGTTATCTGATATGAGAACTGCTATATCAGGTTTCCTTTAGTTTCAATTTGTGTGGAATATCACTTTCCATCCCTTCACCTTGAGTCAGTATGCATCCTTGTGGGTTAGATGTATTTCCTGAAGACAGCAGATACTTGGCTTTTGTATATTTATCCATATTTTTTAGCGTATCTCTCTTCAATGGGTAGTTCAAGCCATTCACATTTATTGAAAGAATTGATAAGTGGGGTGGAATTCTACTCATCCTGTTGAGTAGAATTTTGTTGCTTTGTTTTATGTTTTGAGCCATCATGGTATCTGGTCTTTCATCTTTACCTTTTGGATGATTTTACACTGGTGAGTGTCTATTCTGCTGATCTGTATATAATGCAGTTCTGAGTATTTCCTGCAGGGCAGCCTTGTTTTGACAAATTCCCTCAGTGTTTGTTTGTGTGGGAAAAACATTATTTCCCTCTCATATATGAAACTTATTAATAGTTTTGCAGGATACAAAATTCTAGTCTGGGCATTATTGTGTTTGAGAAGACTGAGAATGTGGCCTCTGTCACTTCTATCTTGTGAGGTCTCAGTTTAGAAGTATGTAGGTAGTCTAATGGGTTTTCCTTTGTAAGTTATCTGCTGCTTTTACCTTAAGGCTCATCGGAGGGCCTCTTTTGTGTTTATTTTGGCCAGTCTGATAACTAGGTTTCATGGTGTTTTCCTCTTTA